TTTCATAAAGATGGCCTCACTGGGAAGGTGGGAGAGAGCATTTCATTTTCCATCAGCTTATTACAATTCCCAAAAGGCCAGAGTCAGATGTTGAGAGCAGCGAAGGTCTTCACCAAGGTGACCTGCGTATTCACATCCGTTTCACTTCTGTTATTGTCCCTGTGGCTATTCTTGCTCTCCAGAGCTTTCTGACGGTGCCTTTCCTCCTGTCGTTTCTTCTTCTCCAGTCGCTGCTGCTCCCTCTTCTGTTTGTTTGTGGCCTGAAAGAGAAGACAACTACAGTACTGCCAGCAGGTCTAATTATAAGGAGTATAATAATGTCAGAAATGCTACCTGCACCCAATATCTGACAACAAATATTTCTTAAAGAGGGTCGGCAAAGAAGAGGAAGACCCTCAACCAGGTGGACTGACATGGTAACTCTGCAATGGGCTTTTGTGTCTCAGGAAGTGACTGGATGGCACAGACAGAACAGGGTTCAGATCTTTTTGTTCAAATGGTCGATATGGGTCATACTAGACTCAACAGCACCTGACAACAAAAACAACAAATTACTTTATTCTATCTCAGCTATCATTCTGATTTTAGAAGATCTTATCTATCTCAGGTATCATTCTTATTTTAGAAGATCTTACTCCTAAGAGGATATAATATTTCTGACATTCTTCATGCCTCTAAGATCAGGTCAAGTGGCCACCTCATGAACTGCCTAGCAGCTTGAACCCCACTGCCTATTTATCTCTAAATCCCACCCAACAACCCCACATGCTCTCTGATGAAATGTCTGGGTCATGTTTACTCTCTGAATATTTGTTTTAAAAAAGAAAAGTCTGCACACAGAAGGTGTTCAATAAATAGCTGTTGAAAAAAAATAGCTGTTGAATAAATGAATACAATAATTAATACTTGTTATTTAATTAAAAATCATTATTTGGGAAATCAACAACAGTAATTTTCTAAAACTTTTAATTCAATAGACTTACTATTTCTTTTCCCCTGGTTCATCTGAAGCATGGCAAGTATGGCTGAGTCAATATTGTAATTTTCAGCTTCCAAGTTCTGGACTATTAAATTAAAATCCTATCCAAGAAAAAAAAATAGTTCAAGACTCTGGATATATTTGCCTACCTTGTTCTACTTCAACAATCTGATAAAAAAGAGATGTAGTAG